CCTTATTACTGAACCAGCAAGCGATAAATCCTTAGTTTAAACTTTAATGCTCCTTTATTCTGGATTAAATTAGATAAAATTTGGTATTTTTCCATCACCAGAATTTTAAAAGAGCTAATATTTTAATTCTCCACAACCTAGAGGTGTAAATTCATGACTATTAAATATTTATTGAATTTGCTCATTCCAAATCATATAAGCCATATCATTTATTTACGGACTCTGAATAAAATTCAATTGATTATAGCAGAGGTCTACCTTTATAAAGAATTAATCTTCTCAGTATGTATAAAGAAATTAGTTGCCTTAGAAATTTAATTCAACTCTCAGAGTAATTAAATGATAACCTAGTTGTATCTTGCCAGAAACAAAATCAGATGTTTAATAGAGGTTGAAAAGAAAAGAAATGTCTTCGTCAAGGAAGATAGTAATTTTTTTTGTAAATTGCTACAAATCTTAGGCTTAATCGGACATTGTAAATTTTAATGATGTTACATCTGAGCATTGCACAATTGAGTAAAGTATAGATTCAGTTTATTTCCCTATTTCTATCTTGCATGGATAACCTATCATGCAAAGTCCTCCTCGATAGGGGTCATTTTTCTCTTTAGAATAATCAATAGTTGGCCTACCAATCATATTGTCGCAATTACTCGAATCTGGAAGAGGCATTTTCTAAAGATGTCTTATGTCTGTTAACTTGATTGAAATTTCACTTGTACTTTTGTAGATTTTATCATGCCAACATTATGCATCATTGTTATTTAATACCTCTCCACTAGAAGTTATTCGATGCATTTATACAGAAGAGGCGTCAAATTAACTAATTTTAGTCAGATCATTATAAGCAACACAACCAGCTTAAGGACTACTTCTAAAAATTACTCCATAGGTAGGCTTTTTAGATTAATCAACATAAGCTTATCCAATAATTAAGTGACTATTATCAAGTTGCTTTAAGACTTGCTTATAGTATAAATTGAAGTTTGTTGATAGATTGATTTTTGATTTGTACCAATTTACTCCTATAGATTAAGTGCTTGGAAACAGATCAGCAGATTCAATAATCATTACAATAAGTGTATGTGTTCCTCCATAAATTGGCTTGGTAAAATATTCAGTCTATCTAATGTAAATCTATATCTAAGTTCCAGATATCTCCTATATTTCTTGTATAAATCAGTTAATAACTTACTGCTAAGAGGCATCTAAACTCATAGGATAATCCACCAGTTGATCCTTAATAAAAATATCAGCCAACTGCATCTCCATTTTTTGTTGAATCTTAGGCATATATGCCAATCTTATCACTTGTACCAGTTGATTATATGCAACCTTCGAATATATTATAGTCAATAGAGTAAGCCATGGTATAGATGTACAAATCGCCAAGCAAATCACTATAATAGAGCTGTTTTTCCCAATCCTTTCATCCATAACTCTACGTTTTCATCAACCAAATATAATTTTAATTTTATTCAGGAAGGTAAGAAATCCCTGAAAAAGCAAATGATCCTGATGGAAGGACGTATAAGGATTTAAATTGAGATTATTTTAAATGAGCAACCTTACACCAAATAGATTAGTTGAGATCCTTATCTATTTTCATGAAGTATTAAATATTAGATTCTGCATCAAAGGCTGTCGTCAAAATATTTTATTCTGTATCCAAAGTCATAGATTAAAATAATGAGATCTCATCACTTTAAGCTTTTATTTAACTTGTTTTCTTGATGGCTCCATTGAACTTATTTATCTTTAGAAATATGTGTCCAGTCTCTTAAGTTAAAGGTGAATTGAAAAACGTTCTTGCAAAAAAATACCCTTCAGAAGATATAGATGATATTGCCTGGACAGTATTTAAATTATAATCTGCAGATTTGCTTTAATATAAAAACATCCAAGATATTCTCTGTAAATTATCCCCTGCTTAGTAGTAATATTAACCAAATATTGGGTCATATCCATTATCACCTGCAAAAACAAATGACAAGAAGTTTGAATCTAATGAGGCTAAATTAAATCTATAGTCAAATTTATCATCTCCTATAAATATAGGAAATTGATCCTCTCCAAAGCACTTTTTCGCTTAATAGTGACTAAAGATGAATATGATGAATAATCCACATAGCATTAAACTTTTGATGTGCAAAATTGAGTTGATCAATCCACCAGTTATTGCGAATGCAAATTTGCTTGAGTGTTTTATAGTACTTTTCCTTAATATAGTAATTCAGCTTGTTACATCATCTTGACATAAGATCTCTTGAAATAATAGATTTGAAGTAAATTCTATTCCTATATTTTTTAATCCTTTTGTAAACATTATTATTTACTATATCAGATTAGTTTAATTTAATTTAAATATATATAATTATATTACTGATAAAACATAATTAACATAAAACTTTCTTACTATAATTTAAACAAATCTCATCCTTTGGGGTTTTGGGGTTTTGGGGTTTTGGGG